TTGCAGGTTTTTGAGATTTTTTCAATGCTCAGGTTTCTAAATGCTCAGGAACAAGAATATTGTTATGAGTTGACAAAGCTGTTGGACCAAATTTGGTTTGATAACTACGAATGTCGATGGTTCGAATCTCACCATTATTATTTCAACTACTTAATGAGCAGGATCAAGACCAATAGAAGAGTTATAGACAACATTTGAACAAAAATTGTTCTTTATACTATTCGTGGTACTCACTGAACCAATTGGAATGACGGAAAAGCCAAAGACTCAGCTTCAAAGCTGACCTAATGTCAAGTGAACCTTCTCATGGTATCACTTTATACCGGTCTGACTTGATACCGCTAAATGTACCTCTGGTGACCGAGCCCAGTATAAGAATAAGTACGTTAAAGGATAGATAAAAAGCCTATTCAAACAACCTCACCTGTAGGGTGGCAGCCCCGCATTCAGGCTAAGGATGGTGAAGTTTATAACAAACCATTTCCGAAATCAACATGTACAAAGAAAGCAACAAACTGAACACATTTCAGAAAACGTTTAAGGGGGGAACAAGACCCTCCTAGCTACGCGCTTGACCTAAAGCTAATTGCATGTTTTAGCAACCAATAACTTCCCGGGAACCCTATTATATTATTATTGTACCACGTAAGTAACCGCTACATCTAATAATAATCAAAAACTGCTTCAAAACCCCTTCAAATCTTCAAATCATAAACTTTATTACTTGTATCTCTTTATTTAATTTCCCATATGCTTATATGCTTTATATTTATCGAGGCGCAATCGATTATTTAAAATAGTAAAGTGAATGATTTTTATCAAGTGTTATAAGCAGGCAGGTTAAGTCATAAACAGGCAGCAAATATATTACATATATGTGATATAAAAAAAAATATTATTATATCAAAATGGGTGGGTCCAATGATGTCGAGAGGCGAGAGAAAGAGATGGAGACAGAATGAATAAAAATGTAAACTGAAATAAAATAAACGTAAATTTACTTGAAAATAAGTGCACTTAATTAGCATACATATTGAAAAGTAATTTGAAACACAATTGTATTTAATTGCCCATAAAATTATGAGCCATCATCTCATTCACATGTAGCATGTATTCACAAATCGATATGGTAAGGCAATTGTAATGGATATATACATACATCCATTGATATTGAATGAATTTTTTTTTTGCTGTATGTACGGGGGGAACCGCACTTAGATATCGTTTTACACCAACCAACATAATAATTACATTAAATTTAGATTTTGCAGGAATAACAAAAATACTCATCGAGCATTTAAGGGATTAGTAGGTAAATAAACAGGGAAATTATTATTGTTGTGCAGGAATTACAAGTGTGGAGCAAGCGAACCCACACAAAACGATCAGATTTCTTTTAATATTGACGACCACCGTGATTTAATTCTTTTCTGTATTTTTTTTCATTCATTCATTTCATCTCGTTCAGCCACAAAACACATTAAAAATAACAGTGAGCCACCACAAAACGGCTGCTACTTTTACTGCTACTGATGCTTTGAAAAGGAAATCACCAAATGATGATCATCGCGGTTTTACATTTCTTTTCAGTTTCATTTCTCATGACTGTAAATGCTTTATATTTTCGAATTGCTCATATGCATCTGGAAGTCTCTATTTATCTACAATTTTTTATACAATCACCATTTTTCCGCACAAACAACTTGTTAACACAAAACCATTGAATTGGAAGTGAATGCTGGAGTGAGTTTGAAAGTATTTGAGTAGATTCAAGGGGGGTGCTCATTAATGATGTTCAAATTTTGTTAGAAATGGGGTCAGTGGGCTTAGCTGCGGCTTAATTAAGGAGAGGGCTTGAAGTTGATCACCGTTGACGGGAAGATTTTCATGCATGAAAAACAATTTCACCTCCCCCCCCCCCCCCCCCCCCCCTATCCCCTAAGGCTGAAATCACCAAGACTGAAATGACCAAGGATGCAGGTAGAGTAGTCTTTAGTGAATGCATTGCCTAAAATGTCTATTGATCTACACTTGACCCCAAGACGTTCTACCCTAGACGTTTAAGCTCCCAACCCCCACTTGGAGTTCTTCAAAAATCCACAATTCCTTTTTTATTCCCCCACTTAAGTCCCTCAATTTAAAACTTTAATTTTTGGCTGTCATCATTTATAAATAACCCCCAAGCTGAGTGCAATTTGATATAAACAAAAATGGCAAAATTCGCTAAAATATTGAAAATTTATTCAAATGGATATGAAAGTAAAGGAGTCAAATCTTCAAATTCTTACAAAACCGACAATTCTTAACTTATGGATAGAAATATTGCTATCAATTTCTACAACTTCAATTTTATTCTATGAGTATACGTACTTATATTTAAATTGAGCATATTTTTAATTATATGAAGCTCTCCATACAATTTTTAATCTCTTTCGTCATGCTCGAGTATTTTAGTTTACCTTCTCATAGCAATTAGCTCATCATATAATATAAGATCATGATTTATTTGTTTCTTGTCTATTTACTCTGTACTGTTTGAATTATTATTGTATGAAGCTACACTTACATCTCGTACTTTATATTATTCTGATGTGATCTTTGTTGTTAGTTATATTTTAATTTATTAATAGTCAGTTATGAGATCTTCTTATTATTATTGCATAAAAAAGTATAAAGACTTCATTAAAATAGAAATGAAAAACAACATCCAGAAAAAAGAGATGTTTGTGGTGTGCATTTTTGAGGTGTAATTTGCATATGAAATTATAAACAGAAATGAATTTATTCCACACATCACATGCAGCTTGATGTGAACGAGAAAACCAGAGGAAGAAAGGAGAAAAAGTCATGACTTGACAGAGTTGGGAGGTGAGGATTTTGAGGAACGTATCATGATAATCATAGGTAAGATTTGTAGGTATATAGCAGTGGATTATGGCCGTGTGATTGCCATGAGACTGACATTTGCTATGGTAGGTTATTTATTATTATTAGGTTATGACTCCTTCCAGCTAATACCTTAAATGCATCAATTCAGTTCTTAATTAATTTCTTTAGGGGGGGGGGGGGGGGGGGGGCTATGTGTGATCTGACCAAAATTCAAGTATTTTTATTTAAAAATATAGAAAACTCACAACCCAGCTCATCCACCAACCCTGCATCTTACTCTTTCTCATTCTTTTCATCAGTTTTTTTCATACGGCAATGATGAGAGCGGTGATGATCATCATCGTTTAAAGATTAATATTTGCAACAAACAGAAAATTGAGTTATTATTAATTGAATATGTTTATGAACATAAAAAAAGTACAAAATGATTGAAAAGCAGTAATTTTCTACTTGCACGATTTTTATTTCATATTAATATATTTCTTTCTCTCTCACTTGCTGACTTTTCATCGCTTATTATTTGACTTTATGTTAGATATGTTTTGATGATTGACTAGTTTTAATAATTTTTCATGTGAATTTGTTATTTGAGTCATTTTTATGCATTTGAGTCTTACCACTTGAGAGTGAGGAGGGGATTGGGGGCATTGAATGATATAATGACCGCAAAAGAGGAATGTTTGATGATAGAAACATCGATCAGTCCAGTGTAAGCCCCATTAAACATAGTATGAGAAGCATTGGCACTGGTCATAAGAAGAAACTTCCCGCAGACCTTGCTCAGGCTTTCCCTAGACAACATTATATAAATTGACTGCTAGTCAAGCATGTGATTGCTATTGAATCCTCTTCAATGATACACGTGTGAGTTAAACAAACTTCCCGTATAAAAATTTGATAAAATTGTTGTTAATAAAAAACAATAATTACTAATAATTAGAATGAAATTAAGTTGTAATTAGAATTTGAAATCCACGAATTATAAAAAAAATTAAAAAAACATTCAAAACTGATAAATATTTTTTTTTGCAATTTTGCGTATCAAATCGCATGTCTCTGTACACATTAATTAACATTATCAATATTTTTTAAAAGTCACAAAAGCAATTTCATTTGTTCATGAAAACTTCAACTAAATGGAAGCGAATCAAATGCTTTTCACAGTTATTCATTTATTTTAGCTCTTCATTCCGCTTAATCAATTTGCTTTAATTTGTTTAATTCACGATTATTAATTTTTTTTTCCTTTCACCGCATCATTTGATTTTTTTCTTTCTTCTTAGTCGACATCGTTGCTATTGGCATCGATTAATTTTCTATGTTATAGGTAGTAAAATAACACATTTTTTGATTTTTTGCTGGTGTAGCGAATGCACTCTTTTACAAGTTTGGAGATTATTTTTTAAAATTTTCTTATTTGTTTTTTAAGATTTGAATTTTTCTAGGTTTTTAAACAATGTTAAAATTTCAATTTCAACTTTTTTTGAAAATTTTGCAATTTTAAATATTTAAAATTGAAATTCTAAAACGTAACCAATTTAAAAAAAATTTAAAAATTTTTTTGTGATTTTAAAAGTTTTTGTATTTTCAAATTTTTCTGTAATTTTAGATTTTTTTGTAATTTATAAAATTTCAAAATTTAAAAGTTTTTTATAATTTAAAAATTAAATTTCTAAAATACAAATTAAGAGAATTTAACTATGGTCAGATTCAACAATTAAACAAGTTTTTCAACTTTTAAAAATTCAAAATTCTGATGATGATGCCAAAAAATGAAAAGCGCAAACTCAAAAAATCATAAGTAAAGCGTTTTGAGACATTAAGAGAGTTTTAAAAATAAGAAAAAACCCTTTGTTCAAAAATGTTAGAAAATTTATGCTTAGCTGTGCATATTTGATGTGATTCTGTGGTTTCTCAATTGACAAGCTATTATAATTTCTTAAGTTAAGCTACTAATTCAGTAGCATACGTTAAACATAAAATTGATTGTTATCTAATTCAATTTACATTCCTAGGAACCACTGGCTACATAAATATGCACAAATCAGATCAAAAAAAAACAGACACAAACAAAATTCCACAAAAATAAATTTAAAAAATTTTCAGCATACCTGGCAGTTGTGCAATCCCTGTACAAAACGTCAAAGTCCTTACACGCTAATAATTTACATCGATTAACACCGGGTTGAATTGCACCGAGTCCGCGTAATATTCTCACTTGTTCAACATTACATACTAATGGCACAATATCAAGTCGCTTCAATTTTGTGTAAACAGTATGAAGTCCACCGACAAGATGCTTAAGGAACAACTCAAATGCTTGCGGTAGACACAACATTGTCTCGCCCTGAATTATGAACGCAGCAACTTTTTGACCACGATAGTCAACTAATTTACATTCGTTTGCTGTCGGATCTGAACTGCTTATTGGTGGTGGACTATTGTATGAACGTGGCGGTACATGATGATGTGCGGCAGCCATAAGATCGAGTGGACTAGCATGATGCATAAATGAATTCAAAAGTCCCAAACCGTGCGGTGGTAAATGCGATAAACTTTGTGCCATTCGTGTTTGTATTCCCATCAAATTACTTGGCGTTGACACTTGCGGTGGACTTAATGGATGTGGCATTGGAAGCATTTGTGGACCGCCACTTGTGAGTGGACTATTATGTCCATCACGTAAAGTTCTAAAATCTCTTTGAGAAAATGGCATTGGTGAGCCAGGCGTTGGTGTTCTGGTTTTGTCATGTGAATTCGGACGAGAACTATGATGTCCTGAGTCATTACGATGTGGCGAGCGACTTCGCATATTATGGACTGATTCGTTTGACGATGCCATACTATGATCACTTGTTGTCGAGAGCGAATCCATCGCTGAATCCATACTCATAATCACTTTTTGAATTGTTTTAATTTTCTAGTTTTTTTTCACTGTTTATTTATTACTTTTTAAGAATTGAAGGTTTATTTCATTCTGCAGGGAAATTATTAAAATACTAAAATAAGGACATGCTTTAATATTTAAAGAAAATTGTAAAATGCCGTAGCTGTTTTGCCGTTGAAACTTAAAACCAAGCCATTTATTTTAAATGGCTAGAAATTGTCTTAGTTTTTCAATATTTTTGTAGGTTTATATTCACTATTAAGTCTATTAAAATTTTACACAAATTTTTTAAAATTTTTTTTGCACAAAAAAATAATTTTAAATTGCCAGAAAAATTTCACAAAATAAAAACTTTTGTCCGTTAAAAAATTCTTTCACAAAAAGTTTTTTTTTTAATTTTTTAATTTCACACAAGAAAATATTTCCGATTAGAATTCATTTCGTGGTTTACGATCAATCACAAAAATTGTTCAATAATCTGTTTTCCAATATTCTCATGAATAAAATTGCAGCGCGCAAAAAAAACTTTTTATTCTCCTCGAACCGAACCGAACACGACACAAACTGCGATTGCAATACTCAATACGAATTGAAAATTGAAATGAAAGAAAAAAATAATTTTTTTTTATTTAGTTAAAGATATATTCCGATTCGTATATATATTTCTTGTTTTTATTTCTGCTTCTCTCTCTCTCTCAATTCGCGCTAGCATGTTGTGCCCCGCTTACACACTAAATATACTCTACACCCGATACGATCAACGGTGGATGATGTTTGTACATCCATTAACATATACAATTGAAACGAATCGAAATCGACATCGAACGAAAGAGAAGAATTAAATAGCAGAGCAAAAAAAAAAAATAAGGTATAAATTGTACACATCACCTTCATACAACAGTCACACGAATAATAAAATTTTCTCTTACACACAGAGCGGCAGAGCAAGAGCAGTGCTCTGAATTTGTGAGCAATGAGCAATAAGAAAGGAAAGAACGAAAAAACGAACAGCAAACATGCAGACATACAAAAATATCTTTTTTTCATATTTAACATACACAAAACGAAAATTCGAGTAAAAGAGAGTGAGAGAGAGACAGGACGGCGGGGAATGAGAATCTACAGCACTTTAATTTCAATTCCATTTTTATTCGTTTTGTAAGTTCGAATTTGGAATTTTTATTTGCGATCCTTGTTCAACTTTCAGTTAGGTTGCGACTTAAGCTACAGCATACAAACATCAGCAAGAACAACAATAAGAAAAGAAGCTTTTATTGCTCTCACAATTCAACTGCCAACATACAGACATACAAACAAATTCACATATTTTTTATTATTTTATTTTCATCTGTTTTTACATTCACACAATTTTCACATTCACATACATGAATTCTCTTTTGCTGCTTGCTTGCCTGCCTGTCGTCTATACTCACCGAAAAAAAAAAATGAGAAAACAACTTTTTTTGTGAACGAATCAGAATACATATTGAAACTGAAATGAAAATATAAAATAAGGTGTGGATTTCGAGCAATTCATTTCCATTTCGAATGTTTGTTGTATTGGTTAAGGATTATTATTATTATTTTTTTTGTACGAGTATAATTTTCTCTCGTAGCTTGAAATCTTCAATTTTTTTCTGTTTGTTGAATGTCATGCGCTCCACAATCTACCGGGGGGAGATATATAGTCAGCAGTAGCAGCAGCAATCGGAGAGGAAAAAAAAAGTTCTCATGAAATCGTACAAAAATAGCAAAATCGCAATCAAATTCACAAACAGTAGAAAAATAATATCAAAAAAAGTTCGTTTTGAGTGGGCGTGTGTTTGTGTGATTGTGAGAGCTACCTCATACCATCACCCATGCTTCTTTTTTTTTCTTCTGTTGCCTCATACATACATTAATATAAAGGCGGAGCTATAGAACGAAGAGAGATTTCCGGTTTTTTACTGCTCTGCATGCTATTTTATGTGGAATTTGTTTGTGAATTGACACACAAGAAATTGAATGTATGTTTGTATATATGTTTAGATACACAGAACAGAATACAGAAGAAAAAAAGTTTAATTTGAATAAAATAAATATCAAAGTTATTATTATTCTTCATGTTTGTTCGCTTATAAGGAATATGATGGTTAAAAAAGAAGGAGAAACTTTTAGTTTAGTTCGAAGAATATGCCAAAAGGAAAGTCAGCATAAGAAAAATTCAAATGAGAGACATACAAAAACATATAATTTTGCATTCAATGCTGCAAATATAATTTATGCTCAGCAATTTTAATAAAATTTTATGTTATTTTATCATTTTGTTGTGGAATTTTTTTTATATGAATAAGGAATTGTTTTTTTTTGTTGATGCTATTAAAATTTATTTTATTATTTTAAATATTTTTTTTTATTTTTAATGTTTTTTTTGTATTTTAAGAAATAAAGAGTCGATAGAAATTTTAAAAATTTTTAAAATCAAAATTAAATTTCAAAATTTGAACAAAAATTGAAGAAAAATTAAATTTCAAAAATTGAACAAAAATTGAGCAAGAATTAAATTTCAAAATTTGAACAAAAATTGAACAAAAAAAATTTTCAAAATTTGAACAAAAATTTTACAAAAAATAAAGGTGTACAAAAAGTTGAAAATTTAATAAAAATTCAAAATTGCTGAGCATAAAACTTATAAAGTCCTCAAGAAAAAATTTAAATATATTTTTGAAAAAGTCAAAAATTCCACAATTAGAAATTTTAAAAACCACTTCCAAAATCTAAATTTAAAAAATCATTCACAAAGCTAAAATTTATGAATAAAAGTCAATATTTCCTAAACACAAAAGAATCATCCAACTCACATAAAATATTTCATAACCCACATCCAAATACTCTGAGTAGATTGTCTCATCATTTCCCCTCCATCATTTTCGAATTTCGAAATTCCAGGACATTCGTGTGCTCATCACACATTTTTTTCTTTCCATCTATACTTTAGACATTTTTTGTTCCTTCTTTTTGTTCCATTTGGTCTTTCTTTCGTGTATTTTGAAAGCTAAGAAATAAAATAAAAAAACTTTTTTCCAACTTTTTCAATTAAATTTATATAAAGAGGATTTTTTTCAAAGGCTTTTCTTTCTATAGCTATTTTTTTGTTGCTGCTTCTCGCGCTTCTGATAAAAATTCGACTTTTTAAGATTATTAATTTATACCACAATCGCTTGTTTTTTTTCGAGGGATCTTCTGTGACTTTACTTTTGAATACACAAAAAAAAACTTTTCTTGGAGTTGGTTCAGATGAGCAAAAATTGAAATTCTCGATAAGAAATGTTCAATTATTTAAACTTTTAAAATTAATTAGGTTAAATAAATTTCTAGTCGAGATGTTAAAAAGATTTATTTATATTGAATCTCGATTAAAACTTTTACGTGCCATGCTTTGTAATAAAAAGGTAGTGAGGAGTTCCACTGAGATGTATGAAGTTGTTTTCAGAATATTGTAGTGAAATTTGAGTAAAAATTCGTAATTAAATGAATTATTATTAATGATTTCTTAATGTTTCAGGTGTAATTAAAGGTTGGTGCGGAGTTAATAATAAAATAAGTAGTGTCATGATGAAGGGTAGACTATCTTTAGTAGTGTGACAGTAAACAATATTTTGTTGCTTTTCTGAGCTTGAAAAAAATTTTGTTCAATTTAAATGTTCCTTTAAGCTTCATTTTGGGCTATCAACACATGAAACTGGATTCTAGGGCTTCTCATGACACTCTCAAGGTAGGAATGAAATTCAATGAACTACAATATTGAGTATAAATCAAATTAATCTGTGACTACGATAAGTGGCCCATATAGCTTTCAATCCGGCTCCATAGTTACACCAAGGATACATTTTAAAGCTGTCATTCGAGACTATAAAGCTTGGAACTACATCACTCAAAACACACCCCCAGGATCAGATTTTCGAATTAAGAAAATTAAAAATATTTCAGCAGTGAATTAACAGCTCTAATTATGACTCTATCATTGTTATTTTATAAATATTTGTGCAATCACATGAAGCCTATTATCACGTCGATTGCAGAAGCCATAACGCCATTATTATTATCGTTATCATGATCTCCATTTTTACATTCATGAAAATTGTTGAACACATCATTAAATACTGTTAATTAATATTTTTTTTCGATAGGCTGCTATTTTTAAAGCTTTTAGGGATGACTTAAAAATGATAAAAATTTTGAAATTGAACTTTTTTTAAATTTTTGTTTATGTTTAGGAAAAATTTGACTTTAAAATTAGTAAAATATTAATTCAAGAGAGTGTCAGTCAAGCTAGCTAGCGCTAGGGTTCTTTTAGAAAGTAAAAATCGTTAAATTTCTCTTGATTTGGTATCATCGATAAAAGTTCAGATTTTTCAATTTTCAATGGTCTTTAAAATTCAAAAAAAATTCAATTTTTTCATCATTTTTTCAATTCTTTTAAAAATGACTGATGATTGACAATATCACATAAAAACTCAAAATTTTAGATTTTTTATAAATAATAAAATTTTCATATTCATACAAAATTTTCAATTTTTTTGATTTTTAAAAAATAATAAATCTTTATTAATTTACAAAATTGAAAATTATAAGATTTAAAAAAATTCCTAATTTTGAACTTTTAAAATTTTTGATGATGAAATTTCAAAAATCTTTCAAAAAACCTTTTTGACTTAGTTTCCTTAAATGCTCGTGGTTACAGTTTGAGGAATTTGAAATTTAAAATTTTCAATTTTAAAGACCATTAAAATCCCCAAAAATTATAAACCTGAATAAACCTGCCAAAAAATTACCATACAGACAATATCTACTGTAAATAAAAGACCTCTATGAATTTAATTCTGTTGCTTTCGTCGAAATATGAGAGCATTCAATTGTGTGGGAGCTGAAATGGAACTGGATATATTGACATTAAGCCAACAAATGAAATCGTCATTTATGTTGGCTTGTACCTTCCACATGCAAAAGAATATCGTAAGAATTTCTTTCATTTCTACATCCAATGGCAATAAACCTGCAAAAAAAGGGAAATTCTACCCCCATTTTTTTATACTCCACAAAACGAGAGCAAGAAATTTTATCTGAGAAAATTTTCACACGAAAAATGCTTTTTTTTCTGTATTCGGAATTGAAATGAAAAACGAAAAAAAGACAGAAATGTTGAGTGGCACAAATTCAATAACAATAATAACTCCGCCTTGAGTGGTGCCTCACAATACACAGGGCTAGGCACCGAAATATATAAAAAAAAAATAAGGTGTGAGGTGACACTCACCCACTCAATACCAAAATCGCAAATTTCTTCATGACTTTTTATATGTACATACGTATGTACATATTTAGATATAAAAAAAAACCTTATTTTTTATTTTATACTTCTTATTTTCGGTATATCTCTCTCACTTACAGTCAGAAATGGTGAAAAAACAGCGCATGATTTCAGCAAAATGATAACAGAACTGTGTGGAGAAATTCACTTATTTTTTGTATAAACACACATTGATATAAAATGAAAATTCTCATTAAACAGGAAAGCATTTGAAGCTCAACAAAAAAAATTCATTTTTTTTTGATCATCGACTTGAGTGCGACTGAAAGAAGAAGACGATGGCAATTGAAGAAAAGAAATAAAAATCCCGAAGTTGATTCTTTTGAACACGAAATTTTTCCTTGCTTTCTGCTTTATGCCGAGAGAATTCTGAGAGAACTTTGTGAGAGTGTGCTGAATGAAACAGAAATAAAAGTATAACGATAGAAACGGCGCAAAGCAATCCTTAACCAATACAACAAACATTCGAAATGGAAATGAATTGCTCGAAATCCACACCTTATTTTATATTTTCATTTCAGTTTCAATATGTATTCTGATTCGTTCACAAAAAAAGTTGTTTTCTCATTTTTTTTTCGGTGAGTATAGACGACAGGCAGGCAAGCAAGCAGCAAAAGAGAATTCATGTATGTGAATGTGAAAATTGTGTGAATGTAAAAACAGATGAAAATAAAATAATAAAAAATATGTGAATTTGTTTGTATGTCTGTATGTTGGCAGTTGAATTGTGAGAGCAATAAAAGCTTCTTTTCTTATTGTTGTTCCTGCTGATGTTTGTATGCTGTAGCTTAAGTTGCAACCTAACTGAAAGTTGAACAAGGATCGCAAATAAAAATTCCAAATTCGAACTTACAAAACGAATAAAATAGAATTGAAATTAAAGTGCTGTAGATTCTCATTCCCCGCCGTCCTGTCTCTCTCTCTCACTCTCTCTCTTTTACTCGAATTCTCGTTTTGTGTATGTTAAATATGAAAAAAGAAAGATATTTTTGTATGTCTGCATGTTTGCTGTTCGTTTTTTCGTTCTTTCCTTTCTTATTGCTCATTGCTCACAAATTCAGAGCACTGCTCTTGCTCTGCCGCTCTGTGTGTAAGAGAAAATTTTATTATTCGTGTGACTGTTGTTTGAAGGTGATGTGTATGAACAAAAATTATTATTATATATACACATAATAATAATAATAACGTCGAGACAAGAAATTTAAATTAACAATCTGCTGCTGCTTTGCTGTTTTGCTGGCTCTTTTTTTCATAATAATATTTTATAACACTAAGTTTTTTAATGCAGTATAAAAAAAGCAACTCATTTCTCAAATATGTGTTTGTGCAGCATAGTGATTGAATGAATTGCACAGTGGCGAGCGAATGAGCGATAAATAAAAAATAAATAAAGTGAAATAAATAAATGAATAATAAGAAGAAAATAAAGTGAACTAAAAAGTGTATTTTTTTTATTAATGAGCAACTTAGTAGTGCAACTAGCATTAAAAAAATAAATCGAAAGAAATAAAAAATTTATTTCAAATTTTATAGTCAAAGATATTATTTTCTTTCGTAACGTTCGGTAGTTTCTGATGGTTTTAATGTACGTTAAAAATTGATGATGAATTTTTAAAAATTTTTATCAAGGATTAAATGGAAATTTTTTAAAGAATTGAAGAAATCGTGAAAAGTTAAAAGAAACATTTGATTTCTATTAAAAGTCTTTAAGTGTTTTTGAATTGAAATAAAATATTTTATTTTACTATTTTCAAAAATTTTAAATTTCATTGACATTTAAAATATTTTAAAAAAATTGATATTTGATTGATATCAATTAAAATCATTGAAGTTTAGAAATATTTTAAAATAATTTTTAAAAAAAATATAAATTTATTTTGAAATGAGAAACTTAAAATTAAAATTATTTTCATTTTTTAAAAAAAAAATTAACTTTAATAATAAGTTTTAAAAACTCAAAAATCAAGCTTGCTTTTTACAATTATTTTAATTTATTTTTTCAAAGTTTTGAATTTGACTTTTAACAATTTTGAAATAATGGAAAATTCTCATTTAATTCAACAAAAACCCAACAAAAAATATCAAAAAATTGAAAAAATAATAATTTTAAAATATTTTTATTATACCTTACAGTGAACTTATAAAATTAGTTTAAAAAATAAACAAAAAACTTAGAAAAATGAACCTAATTTAAGTGACAATCCTAAAATAAATAAAAAAAATTAAAGTGAAGTGACAAAAAATAATAAAAATAAAAAATATCACAAGAGATAAAAAAATGTTACCAATGATGAATCAACGTCTTCCTTTACCGCCGCATCACGGTTTAGGACTATTAAACTCATTCATGCATCATGCTAGTCCACTTGATCTCATGACTACTGCTGCACATCATCATCATCATGATCATCCACCGACACGCACTTACAATACACAACCGTCCTTTGTTCCCTCTGATCCAACCGAGAATGAATGCAAAATTGTCGAATATCGTGGACAGAAAGTGGCCGCATTCATCATCGGAGGTGAAACGATGTTATGTCTGCCACAGGCATTTGACTTGTTTCTCAAAAATTTGGTGGGAGGACTGCACACAGGTTATTTAAGTACATCAATCAATTACATTGTGTTTATGATTAACTTTTATATGAATGTACAGGCTTCTTTTGTACATCATACAATATGCAGTGATGAGACTTTGCTGGAAAATTTTTCGGATAGGCCTTGTTTTTATTTGAGACAGCAAATTTTCCTATTAAATTCAAATTTTCACAACAAAATTCGAAAATTTTGATTTTTTATGATTTTTTTAATTTTTTTTTGAAAAAAATAAAGTAGACCCAAATTTGATATTTAATTTAATTTCTGTTAAGATTTGAACCTCACACTGCATAGTAATTTCTAGTAAAATTGGATAATCATTTGAAATGAATCCAAAATTTTTTTATATAATTTAAAATTTTCATCACTAAACACATGATAAAAAAGAACCACAATTAATACAAAGATCTTTAATTTTTTTTCTCTCTCTTTTCACATTACTTTCTTCCCACGAAAAAAAAAATCACAACACATGTTAATAGTTCATTCAAAGTTGAAACGTTTGGATATAACACCATTAGTTTGTACAGTTGAACAAATCCGATTACTTCGAGGACTTGGTGGTGAGTTGATGATTATTATTATGATTTGTGTATGTGCTTTTCTGTGTAAACGATTTTCACATTCTTTTGTGCGGAATTAATGGCTGTTTTGGATTAGCACACTCAATACGACATAGAATTTTAAGTTGAAGATTTTTTGGAAATTTTAATTAGCTTCTGGAATTTAAATCTTTTGAAATTAGACTTGCTTTTGGGAAAATTTATATTCCTTTTAAGGGTTGTGTAGTCATGGATTGAGATTTCTTTGAAGTTCTATTGGTCGAGCTTCTGTCAACTCTAATTCACTATTTATCTGAGCGTTAAGGACCCAACATTGTCTTTTAAATTTTCCACGCACTACAACTGTTCGAATCCTTGTTTATCGTATTTTAGAATTCCAAAATCATTCTATGAAATGCTTGATAAAATGCTTCTAAGGGGAATCTAACCCTAGAATATATAAGGGGCTCAATTCATATTGACTAGTTTATAGCCTCCGTAAAACTTCGTTTTACCGGTTTTGCTTATTAAGGAAAGGCCAAACTTTTACCCCTACAGACCCTTCTAGTCTATATGGTAATAAAATAGTAGATGCTCAGCCTATGAGTTAGGAATACAGCGATTCAACTCCTAAATCTAATAATTTGCATTGCTTATCTATCTGGTTGATTGTGACCCAAAGTCTGTCTTAAAAGACTTCGAAAGCTGACAATTTGGGTTTAGCAAGTGCTAGTGAAAATTGTCCCCATTTATGGCTTTCTTTCAAAAAATCATTATCCGCACATTTTAAGAGCCTAAACTCTATCCAGTTAATAAAAAAAAACCTTAATTTTGAATTTTGAGTCAATTTTGAATAGAAATTTCAAAAATTTATTAAAATTCAAATTTCTGTTTCCAAAATTAATCCATATTAATAACATTTTTTATCCATTAGCACTGCAACCAGGCGTAAATCGATGTAAACTACTATCGAGTAAGCATTTTGATATTCTATACCGGGACTGCACACAAGCAAGGTAAGAAAATTCTCCCACTTTTTAAGACACATTTTTCCCAACGATTTATTTATTGCTGTTGATATTTATTCAGCAACACACCCTTACTATGACTTATTATGTGAAAAAAAGAGTGTGTGGAAATTCTGCAGTCATAGAAGGGTGAATGTTGCTGTTGCTCTTATCCTTACGCGCTGTTTGACCACCGGAAAAAATAAAATAACCCCAAAAAAATCTTTTTGGATTACAAATAATAAAAGAGGGACAACAATTTAAATTGTGTGAGTATTTTGTGTCCAGAGAGATTTTTTTTTCGGAATATTTACATTTTATTTTTGAAAAAGTCATTCACCCTCGTCAGTTTAGTTGTTGAAATTATATAAGTACGCACGTATCTCTCGTACATATAATTTCTTTTGAGTATATAATTTTTCATGGGGTCAAGGTCATCCTTAAAAGATAAAAAAAGAAGAGCAGAGATTTTGTGCCTTAACAGCAATATTTTTAATACCAATTTTTGTTTCATTTCTTTTACAGATGCTTGTCGGTGAAGCCAAATGAAAAGTAAGTTCTTTTTTGTAATAATTAATTGCATGAAATAGAATTTTTACTTCTTCTGTGCTGTTCATCATTCAACTTTTTTCTTCTTCATTACATTCTTATTCTCCCCAACGAAAATAAAGGAGAAAAATGCCTTTTATCGATCAAACAATTTTTTTATGAATCTTTTTTTAAAAAAAGAAATGGAAAAGTAACTTAAATGAGGGAAACTTGATAATTAAAATTTCATTTTCTCTAATTAATTTATGGTGTACAAACAACATTTACTTATAAATTGAATCTAAGAGGAGAGAAGGAAAAAAATTATAAGATTTATTTAAATCAACAATCCATAACCACTTTGAAATGAATACATTAACGAATATTATTTGGATTAGTAATTCCTTTTCTGCAGTATAATTAGTTTGAATTAGTAATTTTCTACATAAGCTTCTTTGTGTGGCACATCCAAATCAAAGGGTGCAAAACCGAAAAAAATCAACATTCAATCCAAGTCTATAAAAAATATCTCAGCCAAGCAAAACTATGTCAAGCTATATAATTAGAAAATTTAAAAAATTCATAAGATTCATAAGTAATTTCAATGCTATTCCAATACATCCATAAAAAATTGATTTGCTGTCTATTAAGCCTTATTTTTTCTAAAACTACACACAGAACAAGCTAATTGTATTAAGTTCTGAACTGCAATCAAAACAACACAAATAGGTGCTTTAACATTTCCAATTTAATTCACATAAATTTACGCTCAAATTAAAATCTCGTGCTTAACACAGAAGAAGAAAATAAATAAATTTCCTCGTAAAAATTTAAAACTTCTAATAACAAACTTCAAGTCTAACCTTAACATGGAAAAAATCATCATCAACGTCAATCAAGAAAAATTATCGTTAATAAAAATTTTTTTTACTCGATGTTTTTCTTCAACTCTCAATAATTTATATATTTGCTTGTATAAATAGCAATAGACGAGGACGACCGCCAAAGCAAGGTCTTCCATTTGACGACTACAATGATGATGAGCCTGAACATGGAAAGAAATATCGATTAGATGATAAAGACACAAACAGTGATACAACACAAGAGGACGGAAATGGTAAGCAGTCATCTTTTTCAAATTATTGCTGTTTCTCTGCCATTTTAATGTTCGACTTGGTGGTCAATTAAATGAAGACGAATGGAATTCAAAATTGTTATGGTTGTTGAATTGACTGTTGCGAATTTATCGAATTGTTGGGTTGTTGGATTCGAATTGAGGGAGTTTTTATTTGGTCTTCGAGGTAAAATCGTTCAAGAATTAGTGTTAGCTGGATGTTTTTCAAGGCTAGGTACAATAGTATTAGCTTAGCAAAAGAGTTGCATTTTGCCGACAGGATGATAGATTCATTGGTACACTACTGATCCTACAAGATAAAAGATAAGAGTCATAAGTGTCTGTAGTAATCCTATGTTCTACAAGATCCCAACTCTAGCCAAGCCATAATATACGATTTTTATTAATGATCTATTAGAGCTACTTATCAATGTACATTGTTGCTCTAGGCTATGACATCATCATTTGAGTTTTGACATCGACGTTAATGGCAAAAACCCTTTCTAGGTATCTGCTATCATGATTAAGGGTCGGTTTCTTTTCCTTTTTTTTATTGATACCTTAAAGAGCAGTTCATCTATTTTTGATTCAAGGGTAAGGTTCCTCGGGTACGTCTATAAGGCGACTCTTAGATATCAATATCGGAATTTCAGAGCTTCATTTGCTCAAAAAGAATCCGTAGGTATGTAACAAGAAGTTTCAAGGAACTTAAATCACTCCAAATTTGAGTAAACTATGCCTCGCAGTCTAGACTTATCAGTAAAGTTGATATGTCTTAGGAAGGTTGACACCTATCCAAGACATTTTCAAGATCAAGGATGCAACTCACAATTTTCAATGATGTGGACTAGTCCAAAACATTAAGATCAACAACTCATCATCCCTTATATACATAAGATTCACAACGAACTTTTAAAAAGCCTTCAGAACTCCAGTCAACTCCTCTATCAATTTACCATCAATAAAATTCATTCCTTCATGCCAATCATAATTCGTTGCATATTTTCAATTCATTATTAATTTTTTTTCTCATTTTTACAATTTCCATTGAATGTGTTCAGGTAAATCGAAATATCCATCTCTACCCAGTGATTATAATCCATCTGCTATGCATTTGAATCACATACAATTTATGCAAATGAATCAACATCGATTAGCACAATCAAATGCAATTATGGGGCAGGAATTACAGGCACAACATTTGCAAAGAGCAATTGAAGAAAATAACAATAAAAATTCAAATCTTGCAAATTTACATCGACCAAATCTGTGGGAGACGTGCAGTGCTTCCTATGAAAGTTTCGTTAAAAATCTTGAAAGGTGAAAAAAAAATTCAGTTTTTGCAATTCAAATTAAGGAATAATAAAAATAAAATTTTGTGCATGAATAAAAAAAAATTATGTAGATTGCGAAAGGAAAAGCTGGAAGAGAATCTCGAGAATGAGAAACGGCGACATTCAGAAAATGGCACGCCAAATGAAAGTCCCATTTTAAATTTATCAAAGAACCGTGAGCGTTCAACATCACCTGAATATAATCATCGAAATGATGCATCGTCGCCGGGTGCAGAGAGTGCGGAAAATATGGATGCGCATGAAGAACGTTCTGATGATATGGAAGTGTCCGAAAATTCACCTCGATCGCGTTCACATACACCACAACTTGGCAGCATGAATAATAAGATGAATTATAATCCACGCGACTTTTCACGTCCCGCACCGACAATTGCATTCCCATCAACCGAAATCTTACTCAGAAATATACAAGAATTGCTTAAAGTTGTGTTGGAAAATTCTATACAGCAGGAGAGACAATTGAGTTTTGAGAAAGGTAAGAAGTAAGACAAATTGTAGTCACGTCGATTTTCATTGACAGTCAGACAAATTATAAAGAGTTAATATCAGCTTGTGCTATAAAGAAAAATTCCAGTTCAAAATCGAATTATTGTCAATATTATTAACGAGCACATCGAAATGATAAATAATACATGGTGCATGGCTACATTTCAAGTACATGTGAGAAAGAAATTAATTGTAATTTATCAATTGCCATGTTTCCCATTGCTTTTCCTCGTTGAAATCACCTGTTAAGTGCGATGAGTAATAATATGGTTGCACGGAATGATTTGAAGAAATTTATAATTCCATGTTACTCTCTTTCGGTGCGGAATGAAGAGAAATAAAAGAGTTTCCATTTCATCTTCAAGCTTTTAAAGTCTTTTGTGCTGTTTACAAATCAAGCTTCAAGACGACTCTTTTCTTGTTGTGTATAACAACAATTTTGATGAAACTAATGAGATAATTTCTTATTTATGAATGAAAACTTTTTGTAAACTATGGAGACAGTTTTTTTGGTATCTTTAATTATATGCTTCCCAAAAATGTCCACCATGCAAATATTAATGAGCAGGAATTTTTCAATTTTAATAATTTCGTGTGCTTGAATAAAAACAAGTTTTCTGTATTATTGATGTGGTGTGGTTAAGGGTATATGGTTGAGATGTCGACAAAAGTGAACATTTTAAGATCTCCCGTTCTTTGATTAAAAATGTTCTTTTATTGGCTAGGGTCTTGCAAGCAAATAATCCAAAAATGCTTCCAAAAAACCTTATTTTCTTAACACAACTTCTTCGTCCATTCATTTAGAATCGAATATTAAAGCTCTGACTCTTAATTATCCATCAAAAGCTCTTACTTTTCATGCCATTCCATCATTTGACGCTGCCTTGACTGTCAATCTTCCTAGTTTCTGTAGATATGGTTCGAAGAGCATAGGGCCTGAGCATAGTGCTCGCAGTGAAACTGGTTGTATGTGTATGATGGATAACCGAAGTTAGATAAGTGCCTCGGTAGCCGAGTGGCAGGGATCTCTGATCAAGAGGTCAGAGATCGCCTCTTTTGAGGTCGCGGGTTCGATTCCCTTCAAACCCGGCTTGCTTTACATTTGTATACATATTCAACAGTTATAGGGACATCTACAGTTTCTATACAGCAACTACTTCTTAATGAGTTGACTCAATGTGTACTGTTAAATGCACCTAGTCAGAGTTTGTATGCAAATAGGACATTCATAATGATTCAAATCTAGTTTAATGGCCAGAAAAGTGAAAAGGCACGTTTATCTGACTAGATAGTCTTCTAGATCAAACCCAGAACTTTAGTAAAGAAGACTTCCATAATAAACAGAAGCATAGACTTAAAGATATCCACTATTCTTGAAGTAAGTTCCAACACTGCCAAGTGTATCAGTCTTAGACACAACTAGGTTTCTCAATTCAAGGATCGCGACAAATTGTCCATGAATGCTAAACTATTGCACCCGATGCCACCCAAACCCCCTCACTACAACACTGAATATCATTCAATTATTTCAAATATCCAAGCATAATTTCGCAATTATAAAAATTACAATCAATTAAAACAAATAGTAATTATCCTTAATAAACTTATTTAGTTTCCATTCATAAAAAATCCTTCAAACAACGAGTTAATAATCTTCATCTATTTACTCTCTCCTACATATTCCGTCGACATCACAACAAGGTGGTATTTAAGAAAATATTAAAAATTGAAATTAACCAATTTATCAATTTCAAATAATCGTAACGCCAAGCACATGCTATTTATTAGCGCTAACTCAATAAGTAATTCATAAGAACTGTTTCTCTTTCTTTTCCTGCTGAATAAAATTAAACACCGTGAGTTATTGAATCGAATAAAAAAAAATATGAAAGAAAGAGACGTAGTTGAGGAGTAGTAGAAATAATAATTTATTACCCCTTTCTCTGTATACTTTTTAATTATAGCCGAGTTGAAGATGAATGCTTTGAGAGAACGTGAAATTAACAGCAGTTTGGAGCGTCGATTGTCGGAAGAGCAGAAGCTGAGAGGTAGGTTTTCTTATTAATTTTATTTGCTACTTTTTTTTCATGTTTGATGAAGGCCAACGACTGCAAACAAAGAAAACTTCAGTTGGATTCGAAAAATTCAAACTGAAATTCGAAAAATTTCGAACTGTTTCGAACTATTAAATTTTTTAAAAAATAAATGATCGTTAGGGAATCAATAAAGATATATTTTTTATAGTTATTTTTTGAAGCAAAATTATTCCTTCTAACTTTGAAATTGTAATTTTACTCTAAATTCAACAAAAACTTTTAATAATTTATCAATTGTATCTTGACAATGTTCAAAATCGACTTCAATTTGTGCAATTACTGTATTGATGAATTTCTGGTTAAAGGAAGGATCAGAACATAAGGTAAAACAATTAAGCTGTCTATAAATAAATTCAAGAATACACAAGAAATGTTTTTTTTCACAGCAATCAACAGCAATATTCAATATTATGCAATTTAAGAAATTCAATCCACTTATCTTTATGCATAGAGCTTTTTAAAAGTTTAATAAAGGTATTTTATTGGTTTTCTTTCCTTTACAAACAGTAATTACACAATTTCTGACCATTTTAAAAAAATGAAATTTTATAAATTCAATAAAGACCAAGAAATGTAAACAAATATTTTCAACGGAAATTTTAAATTCAAATCAAGTTCGAAAATGAAGTACCTATTTCCGAAAATGAGTTCTTGTTTGCAGTCGTTGGGATGAAGGGAAATGCGATTTTTTTTAACGAGATTTATTTGTCTGACATGGCTGTGTGGGTTTGAGGCAGTGATGAACAACCTTTGTGTCTAGTTGCATTGTTTTCGAAATTTTCTAAAATGACTCAAAGTTATAAACTTCATTATTTGTGCCAGACAATAATCATGGCATCATTAAGGTCTCCATCACGTTTAAGTTATATTTTTTTCCAAAGGCTTCTTCACTTGGCAGGATTTTGATGATTTCCAGATCAAGTCTGTCAACCAGCAGTACTTTCTCTATCAATAGCTTTCTTCCATGTGTTATCCATGTGTTATCCAAATATTTTGGCATTAAAAAGGAAGATTTTCATGCTTTTACACTGTCTCTTAAACGTACCACAACACACAGGTTACCCATCACTGCATTAAGTTTAATTAAAATTCCTAGTAATTTTTTTCCAAATCCCAATCTCAAATTTCATTCATAACTGAACAAATTCGCGGGAATCTATAATAAATTGCGCTTTCTGATACAACAACCTAGCTTATAAATTGAGATCCAATATGATTTATTTCTTCTATTACTGCACAGAAAAGATTTATTCAGATGTCACATTTTATCAAACTAAAGTCGTTAGAAATTGAAATAATATTGTCTCGCAGACATAAATAAGATCGGGTTACGGGTAGCTAACTAATTTGCAGCATAAAAAAACCTGTTGCAGAGTAAAAAATCGATAGATCTGTGCAAAAAAAAGTCTGCCTCACTATTACTACTGCGTAATATGAGGTGGTCTTGCTTTTTGATGGAGGATGACAAAAAATTAAAATTCATTTTTTTCACTTTTCCTTTTTTCCTCTCTTTCATCATCATTATCATCGTTTGAACATTGATGCTGCATACGCATACACAACATATTAATTTAACTCACTCAGTCTTATATCAAAAACGATACAATCGGGATCGAAAATATCGATTTAAATTGCAGAAGCAGATTGAAGAAGAATACGAAAAACATAATCGTTTAGAAGAGATTCTGAAGAAATCTGGCACAACTGATACGTTAAAGAAACTTGCAGGTGAATAAACATAGATATGGATTAATAATCTTATTTTAGAAGGAATTGAAGGCTGACTTTTTTTTATGTTTGTATATTTAGATAGAAATTTGTTTTCATTTTGTCTGAAAGTCTGAATGAGTTACTAGTTGGGGCTGCTCGCTAGTGACGTCCAACTTTTAAAGGAAGAACTTGCTTACTTCCCTGGTGAGGGCAGTTGAGAGCCTATTGCCGCAATTCAAAGTACTATTATCAATTCTTTATATTAAGTGGGGTGTCCTATTTTTTGATGGACGTCATTTGTGACAGACCCCCAAGACTTTATTCAAAAATGTATAAAATGCAATAAAATGTCAAATAAAACTCATATTTAGCTGTGAATTAAGCTTGAAAAAATAACCTTAAAAAATTCTTTTTTCTAAATTTTCAAAAATTAATCTTGGCACGATTTGCACCGTTCAACCTTAGTTACCAGACCATTAAAAAGTTCGTTTTTGGTTACTATAGCAAATATTGTAAGCTCTGCTTCTTGAAAGCTGTTAATAAGCAAGTATCGATAGCCTGGTGATCTAGGTTGCCTTAACTTGATTCTATCCTTGTAGAGCAATGGGAACATTAGCCTGATTAACCAAACGTTAGTTTTAAACAAGCTCATAGCCACCCTTAATTCATAAAAATTGACTTAAAGCTTCCAATATAGTAAATGTCTTCAAAATGCGCTTATATAACCTACAAAATAAATTAATTCTCAATCATCCTACATCTTTTTATCCACAGAATTTCTGCGAGACAGTAAGAAAATGTTCAATAACAACATCTCAACAGGAAACAACAACATCAACAACAATAGTATTAAGACAACGGCGAAGGATGATGAGAAGAGTGATGACGAGAAACCACGATTAAAAGATATCGTATCCAATGATACCAAGGAAAGTGAAATTTCTAGTCCAAAGTCGAATTAATCTCCATTAGTCACAGTCGTAATTTTTTGAAGTACATATAAATATAAAATTAATATAAAAAATAATAAAAAAAAAATTAACATAAAATGCTCAATATTTTAATCCCACAATTTTAAATACTCGAAAAATAATTGTGTAAATATTAATGAAAATGAATAAAATTTTGATGATCATTGATTACTCCATGGATCTCTCTAACACAAAATTAGTTTTGAATTTGTCTACAGTTGTATGTGTGAAGGCTTGATTGTAGTTGAGAATTTTCTTATAAGAATATTTTCATGACGTCATAATTGATTGAAGTCTGTACAATAGGGTGAGTGTCGATATGAGCAGCATGAGTCGTCGTCTCTCGTTTCATTTCGTTCCGATTCTTAAATTTCACATCAGCTAATTCTCCTCTCTCTCTCTTCGTCTTCCCTGTTTTTTAATGTCCTCGTTTACAGTGATATTTGATTAGGACAATTTTTAATGTTATTTTGGGTGGTGTAAGGCAAATAAGAACATCATCACATTTCCCTTTTCAAGGCGTTCTTTCCTTTTCCATTTATTTGTTTTTAAAATGAATAAAAGTCGATAGGGGGTATAAGAAGATGTTTTTTTGACGAGGGAAGGGGTTTGAGAATTGCTAGGAGGTTGATGTTTTTGAATATTGAATTTATAAGTATTTCTTGATTTTATTTTGGTGTCTATTTAAAGCTTTGGCCCTCAACAACCATTTAAAAACTAAGTTCTGCTTCAAATAAATTAAATCAAAATTATGCTGAAAGCTGGAAAATATTCAACAATATATTCCGAGTGGGAATCGAACTCGCGTTCTTTCAAAGCTCAGTTACAAAACGTTGACATTCAGGGTTTCAAGGGATGTCTGGAGACTTGACAGAATGCATATTTCAACCACCAATCTGCTCTGAACATTATTCTTAGTTTCATCATTGATAAAATTTAACATGCGAACCTCCAAACTGTAAATTATTCTTCAAACAGTGATAATAAGCATTCACATGTCTTCACCCAAAAATTCAATAATAATAATAATTTTTCACTATCAATCTTTTCACATGTTGACAATATAAAATCCCAAATGGCCAAAATAACAAACGATGAATTTCAAACTTACAAATTTAATTTGATATTAGGAATCATTAGATTCCCTCGTGAATTAAAATATCAATCAAAATGTAGTCGCCGCATGACGTCCACAGTTTGTTTTAAATATTTAAAGAGGCTTGTTTTAAATTATCAAAAAGAAATGTTTTTTTTGAATAAATAGAAATATATTAAGGAGGAGGTGAATCTGCAGTATTTGATGAACAGAATAAACTTTTTTTTTAGAATAAGTCTTAGTTTTTAGACCGCTAATTCAAATGGAATTATTGAAGACTATGAATAAAATGTAATACATGAAAATTAGAAACTATAATAATAAACAGTTTAATATATATCAGGTGCTGTATTTAGGGAGCGGTTTAGATTAGGTTCACCATTATTCATCATTCTTGTTGTCCATGAGACTGGTTTGAAGAGCTCTCAAAGCCAAAACCCTAGTCCAAATCAAATTTTCTTTACATTCCAAATTACTGGAGATCAATTTTCAGAAAAAAAAGACAGTCTGCGGCTCGTGGTTGGATTTAGTCAAATGCTGGTTCGATGGCTATGTGCAATCCGGCAACTGTTTTAAAATATTTGAAACCAACCCCGAATAGCCCAAGTCAGTTAATCGAATAGAAATCTAGCAACAAGCTTGCGTAACTCTGACATGATGTTGAATTAGAATTAAGTCTATGCTAGAGTCACACCAGCTTGATCCCGAAATTCTATTTGATTAACCGACTTGCTCTATTCGAAAACTAGCAAAAGACAAAACATAATGCGACTGTTAATGAAAGCCAAAGATTCCCCACAATTTATTAGAAGATACACTTTAAAAACACTAAAATCTTGACATATAGTCTTAGTTCCTGTAACTAGTTATGAACACATACAATACGATCCCCTGACAAATTTAAAAATTCCACTTTATTTAATTTAATTTCTCATTTCCCACCTCATTTATACCCCCCGTACAACATAAAATATCATAAGATGCAAAAATTTATTTCATCTCATTTCCATTATTAATAATTCAACGCAAAATTATAATTTAAAAATTTCTCTGCTTCCGTTCGAACCAGAAAGGAAAAAAATAATATATTTAAAATGTGTAAAACCGAAATATTTAAGAGGGCATAATTTTTCTCAGCTCCTTTTCACAGCTGAGACCCAGGCACAAGGATGAAAATTTAGTAAATAAGTAGCTCTCGTAATATGTTTGTGTACATGTAGATAAGTATTGAAGATATTTTATGATTGTCATAAAAACATGAAAAAACATCATCACTTCAATTTCGGCAATTGTTTATTTTTTGATGCTCAATTACACAGCTGCAGTGCATTCTCATTACACATTTTTCTTTTGTTGTGCCTTGTATTACGTTACATTAGATTGTAATACATTAATATTATTATTGGGATATCAAAATATCCTCGATGAATATCTTTTTATTCATAAAATAAACATAAACCCGCACAATTATGTTAAAATGTACTCGTCACTTGATATTGTCATCACAAATCAAATTTAAACTCTTTATCACGTATCACTTTTTTTCTTTTAGATTATAAAAGGAAATGGTTTTTGTGCATTAAATGTGGATTTGTGGATTAATTGATGGCACTTTGACTATGTTGGGGATGAAGTTTGCTTATTATTTTATACGATAAATTAAGATTTTGGGTGTAAATCGTGTCCAAAAGTTTCAGAAGGGCCATCAGAACTTCCCAATAAAACTATGAAAAACTTTAGAGATTTATGAAAGACTATTGTAAGTTGGCAAAGTTGGCAAGCTCAATGGAGATACATGCCAAAGACTCCTAATATAATTCCAGATCAGATTTAGATGTAAGATTGAAGTTCAATGTTGGTTCCATCAATCGAGAGATGAAGCTTGATTTATGTGCTAATTTAAAGCATTTAAATCATACCTTTTTCATCTATGATGCAAAAGATGCCTCCTTTCGCATGTACGTATAAAATTCCAGGCAACACAAGTTGAAACTAGGTGCATCACAAGCTTAAAAGACTTGTATCTTTGCAATTTTCAGATTTTCCAATCAATTTAGACTACACTTTATGCTAGAAGCCAGCCAATACTCCACAAACCTTATAAAAATGCGCTTCAACATTTCCAACATCCTCTAATTTGTCAATTATTGAACATCAAAGATATTCGATATTTATTACGTGCCCAGAAAGCATTTATATGCGGGTATTGAAAGGAAAGAGAAAAAAAAAATCTGTTTAATAGATAAAATCACGTTCGATAATTATTTGATGATAGTCATCTATACATATCCATACATTTTCATTGATTAATGTTAATGATGAAAATAAATTGGATGTAGTTGCAACTGAAACTGCAATAAAACACAAAGAATAAAACAACTGGAGAAACAAAGAGAAAAAAAAGAGATTTAAGGACGCAAAACAAATTTAATCCAGAGCATGTAGCACTTAATATTCTTCCAGATGAGAACATTAAATTTTAATAATGTCTATATAAGCGGAAAATCGAGCGCGAGAAATAAAACAAAAGATAGCAGAATTATAATTTAAATTTCTTTTATTTTTTTCGGTGTAACCCCTTCGTTCCTATTATTGCTTTTATTATTTTTTATGATCATAATAAGAAGGAGAATGAATATTTTAAAAATGTCAAGGATATAATTGTCTTATTAACGCATCTCAAAGAGGGTTTTTAGGAGCTTCTGCTGTAGTGTCAGGATCATTTGACAATTTTGAAAATTATTTGAATCAATTTTTATGTAACTTTGAGGTTATGTACTCAATTAGGATGTTTGCTGCTCTTATTATCTTCATAGCATCAATAGCCAAATTACCTGGGATAGGTTACATTTTGTATCAACTTTAAGGCATTTGTGTCCAACCTTTTTGATGCCAATGCGCACATCAACGTCCAAACTACCTTTAAGCATCCACCAAAGCATTTAGTTCTAGTAATTGACTTCTAGTGTCACCTTCACAGACAATAAAATATCTCGAAACTGTAAAATCATCAAAAAAGGTAGAGATTGATTTTTAGGACAAAATGCCAAAACCCTCCCCAATTTTACAACCCAAAACAGTTCCTAATGAAAATGTAAAGGAATAAAAATTATTAAATTTCACACCCTTTTTGTTATCATTTTTTTATATGCTCATATCTTCTTTTCCACCTCCCCTACGCCACCCGAGCTAGACTTTTATTTCTTTTGCTCGTCTTACATATTCATAGAGCCATAAGTAAGTACATGCACATGTAGATGTACAAAGAATGGAAACAATTTTCACTTAAAATTTAATTTATTCTAGAGTTATTATATTCTCATCTGACAACAATATACCTTCCATTCTTTCTTTATACACACGTGAATCTGAATGCAATGAATGCGAAAATGTGAAAAATTTGAAGAAAAAAACATTTTTTTAATTTAAATTATTTGCTGTTTGGATGATAAGATGTAATAAAATTGGATGTGTAATATGTTTTCGATCTGATTATACATGTTGGCAACGTTGTGTGAATATTATTTGAGCTTTGAGGGGTACTCGATGTAAGCGACTGATATTCAAGGACTAATGGCAACTAAAACCTAGTTTCAGGAGAATTAGCGTATACATTGTGGTCTTAACCACGAGTTTAGTTTGGTACACCAAAGAAACCAAACTCTGACGATCAAAAGGGCAGTTTCTGTAGCTACTTAAGGATCCTAACCTTAAAATCAAAAATCAAATTAGTTCATTGTTTAAAATTAATCGTGACCAGGCTAAGACCCCCATTAGAAACTCTAGATACCTGCCAGAATAAGAAGAATCAAGAGAGTTCAATTTATTCTCAGTTGTTTAATTAACTTTGTAGTCTCAAACTTTAATTCTAGCATCGTCATATCTGCAAACAGAAATTAAATGACCAAAACGATAGCCAATAACGAAGATAATGTCCGTTCCTAATCTCCTTCAAATGAACATTATAGTATCAAATTTCTGCTTAAATGAATGCGGAAATTCACATAAAATCATCAGGAAATAAAATTTTCATTTCTCATCATTTTCACACAGTGGAAGTGGAAGTAGAGACAAAAATCTATATTTTCATTT